CATTAAAAATCCCTAAATTTACTCTCTTTCTCTGATGGGTCAGTGGCGAATTTGCTCTTCCTTGAATCTCCAGCTGGTGTTGGTTTCTCGTATTCGAATACTACCTCCGATTTGTACACTGCCGGAGACAAGAGAACCGGTAAAAAAACTCAGACTTTGAGTCTTTGACCTCTCTCTTGATTCGATTGATCATGCATCTGATTGTTTCTGTGTAATTTTTGCAGCTGAAGATGCGTATGTGTTTCTTGTGAAATGGTTTGAGAGGTTTCCACAATACAAGCACAGAGAATTCTACATTGCTGGAGAAAGCTATGCAGGTTTGTTTATTATCATTTGAGTTTTTATTCAATTGGACTTCACTAAGCATTCTTTCTCACTTTCCTTGTAGGTCATTATGTTCCTCAGTTGTCACAAATTGTTTATGAGAAACGTAATCCGGTTATCAACTTCAAAGGCTTCATTGTAAGCAAAACCCACAAAATTCCATTTCAAAAATCTTTTTCTTATGTTATGTGTGTGAGCAAAGTGAGTTTCTTTCCTTCTTAAGGTGGGGAATGCTGTGATTGATGATTATCATGATTTCGTTGGGTTATTTGAATATTGGTGGACTCGTGGATTGATATCTGATCATACTTACCACAAATTACGGATCACGTGTGAGTTTGTATCATCCGAGCACCCGTCCCCTGAATGCAGAAAGGCTCTTGAAGCTGCAGACAAAGAGCAAGGGAATATTGATCCTTATAGCATTTACACTATCACTTGTAAGAAAGAGGCTGAAGCACTTAGGTCCCGCTTCTTGAGGGTTCGCCATGTGAGTTTTCATCATTTTTCCTTTAACTACTATTCTTGAGTGGTGTAGGTTTTAGTCATTGAGAGGTTCCATCTACTAGGGACATGAAATGAAAATCATATCTTTATATGGAGAATTGGTTATGTAGTCTCTTTTATGTGCTTCCAGATACAATAATGACCAATACATGACCCACACAAGAACCTTATTTCTCATTTCAGCAAATAGATAATGGTTACATAGATTAGTCCATAAAGGTAATATGGAGATTATCTCTCTTCTACTTGAATTCAAATCCTTGTCTGAGCAGTGGTACATGTCTTGTTTCATATTTTAAATGTTGATTTGCTTTTTCGCTGCTTTGGTAGGTTCAAGTTACCTAACCAAGGCGCAGTCCATAGGTAACGGATTTGAAAGTTCTCTAATCGTGCTAACTTTTTTGTTCTTAATTTAGCCATGGATGTGGAGAGCATATGACCCTTGCACAGATAGATACTCCGGCATGTATTTCAATTCTCCGGAGGTTCAAAAGGCTATGCATGCGAATATAACCGGAATTTCTTATCCATGGAAAACGTGCAGGTGAAAAACCACATTAATGGATTATCAAATTCACAAGAAATAGCCTCTTGTTTCCATGTGTAGTGACATTGTTGTCTTGTTTAGTGACATAGTTGGAGAAAAATGGGCAGATTCTCCTCTATCTATGCTTCCAATCTACAAGGAACTCATCGCCGCAGGCCTCAGGATATGGGTTTTCAGGTAGCTAATTCTCATTTTTCCTTCCTCCGTCTTGTATCAACATTTGGTATTAATATCTTGTTCCATAAACATTGATGCAGCGGAGACACTGATTCCGTGGTTCCCGTGACTGGAACTAGATACTCCATTAGAGCCCTCAAGTTAAAACCAGTCTCAAAATGGTACCCTTGGTACGACGATGCACAGGTAGGAGAAGC